TTTTAGCCAATGTTAACCAAATAGAGAGTTTAGCCACTCATGGCACTAGAATAACAATCACAAAAGTCTAATTGTGTAAAGAAACTACCAATAACTTGGAAAGATGAAAAGAAATGAGTCTCACGCTCCAAAATCGCCTTCTTCTGGTCTCCAATGGTGTAAAATCGAAGTTATGGCTGCTAGATCTGATCCCTCAAGGTAATGGAAAGCCAAATGACCAAAATGCCTAAAACTGGGCAGTTGCGCGGGTACCCGCTCAACGAAAATTCCACCCGCGCAAGTGCTGCTGGAATGCTATTGGTCCTTCATTCCTCCATTCCACCCTTCCACTACCAAAGATTCCTTTGGTCCCCTCAATATCCATGCGATTTAAACCAACCAATCATCATTTAGCTACAAAAATGGATGCTCCAAGCCCAAAAATAGAAGTTTATGATCCATCTTCACAAGCCCAAAATATCCAAGTCTTCAACTCTTTAAGGCCCAAGTCCTCTTTTATGGATCCGCCAAGCCCAATAGCACGTCGAGAGCCCACAAGTCCGTCTTCACTCTAATCCACAATCGCGATAAGCTCCAAAACCCTGCAAAATTCCTCATGCAAAATAAAAAGCACCCGGTACGATCCATACTAAAGAAAATAAATAAAATACAATGAAATAATGATAAAAAGATCTAAAAATCTAAAATAAACTAATAAAAATAAGGAAATAAAATAAGCTATCACCTTTCATGGGCCTATAGGCCAATGGGCTTGGCCCATTAGGGTTTTAGGTCTGATCCCTCAAGTATAAATAGGGATGCATGCTAAGTCATTTTGTATCTTGAATTCTAGAGTGATAGACGAATCTCTGTATGATTGTACTTGTAACCTCTGTTTGAGAACTTTGAAATAAAGAATATTTCCCTCCTGTCCGTGGACGTAGGTCGCCTTGACCGAACCACGTAAATACTATGTCTTTGTGTGCTTATAGTTTTGCTTGTTATCTGTATTACTTCCTTACAAGTGTCATCAAAACTTGGCAAGTGGCATCAGATTTTTTCTAAGTCTTGGCATCAGATTTTTTCTTTTTGCCGATGTGGGATTGTGTTTGTACCCAACATACGGTGTTCGCAATACTTATTTTTTGTTGCCTTTACAACTTCTTCTTCGAAAATTTCGGGCGCGGTGGTATTCATCTTGTGGTTAAAAATAACGTTGAACTCGTTAACTTTTGCCCGCATATCCCTCCATTTGGAGTTTATTTGATGTGTTGAATAATCCGAACTCCCAAGTTGTTGGTTATAATGATCCATGTTCCCCATAAATATGACAATCTTTGTGGATTTCCTTGGGTATTTTAGAAAGTGTCAATGACTCAAGGTAAGCTTTCGCCTACACCACCTCTTTGGGTTTGGACCATTGTTTGCATCTTTAACTTGGCTAGGAGTATAATACATTTCAGATGAAATTGGATTAGAATGGGAGAAAGTTAGAATGGACCGAAAAGACTTGGAATGAAATGGAAGAAGAGTTGTCGTTTTGAAATGATATAATTATGTATTTATAGTGGGTAAATGGAATTATAAAATAATAATAATAATAATAATAATAATAATAATAATAAAAAAAAAAGACCCTTGGAGGGAAAAGAGAAAGAGACATTGAGCAGGTAAAGTAACCCGATCATCTTCAATCTTGCGTTACCCTGCGCTAGACGGAATCAAGACGTTGGCGGTACACTAAAAGCCCTTTGCATGATAGTTATGTAACTATTTCAGTAACTATCATACAAGTTGATCATTTATCAATTCGGCAGACCTGGCCTAATTTTACCGTTCTTAAGCATATCTCAAATCCGTATTGGTTGACATAATTGTAGGACTAAAATTGTGAAGAAAAAGAATACTCTCAACACTAATAGCAAACGTGAAAACTATATTGCATGTAAAATAGGGAAAACATCCTGGATTAACGACGAACTCGAATGAGTTAAATCAGTATGTTCTTTAAAATAAAGAAAATAATGTCAATTCTTGAATCAAAGCTATTATATTTATATGTGAATTTTTATCGCTTTACATTTAGACAGGCAAACCATTCAATTACATAAACTCAAACGCCATCAAATTTAAACAATCCACACCAAAATCTAATACAGTCGAATTTACCATCAAGCTTGCTAATTTATTTAAAAAAAATTGCAAATTCAAAGACTTTTATATGATAAAAAGATTATAAATTGGAAGACTTTTGACATTACTGGATTTTGACTTATATCCTGAGTAGAAATATACTGAGTTCAGGCCCTCCGTTACCATCCGGGTTCATCATATAATAAGCTTCCGAGTCCCGACTACCAACGACTCGGTCAAACCTCGCTCTCATGTACAGCAACTCGCCCTCCGACTCACCGCCACTGTTTCTCTTTCTGCCGTCTTCCACCATTGGTATCACACCAGCTCCCACCGAGACACTCTGCACCGAGCTCAACACGTGCCAATCGGAATCTGAGCACGCCCTTGAAGACGCGTATCCACACTTCCTTCCGTTACAATACATTGTCCATGTGGGTTCGTTGAACAGCTTGCCGTCTCTGCCACGCGCACCCAACCGCGACTGTTGTTTTTCGCATTCAAGAGCGATCCTTACCAGCCCTGAAGACATCTCTTTCACGAGCACCGCCGTGGATACCGCCAGCTCAATAATTAGTACAGGCGTGGATCGTGGGTCATACTGCACCGCAAAGCTGACGCGTCCTCTTCGGTTTCCAAACAACGTGCCCGTCACTTTCCGGCCGAGCGACGGCGTAAGTGAGAGCTGGGATGGCAAAGTCAGCCACCGGAAGGTCGGAATGATAGCAGGGATTGATATGACAGTTAGAAAGCAGCGTATAAGTGTGGAGATTCCAGAGCGGGTTCTGGATAAACGACGGAATGATAAAGGAAAGCCTTTTCCGACAAGGGGTTTGCTGTCGGCGGCGTAAGAGGGATCAATGACGAATGAAGTGGAGGTGATATAAGTTGACGGGATTATTTTGCTGGATGTGTTTCTGGACAGAGAGAGAAGACCATCATACCTCATTCTGTAGGAGTTTGATACAATGATACGGGAGCGAACCTTTTGACGGGTATTAGCAAGAGGGACAGATAGG